CTTTGTCAAATAGATTTTAGCACTCAATATTTTCTCACATGAAGTTACTGGCCACACTAATCAAGTAATTCCTCAGTGTCCTTTTGCCTTTAAATCTTTCCCTCTAACTTTCTGAAGAACTTAAATTATTTTTTGGATGTTTTTCTGTTCATTCTCCAGTGTCTCCATCTCCTTTAAAAAACCTGGTTACTAGAGATATAATCAGTATTACTCTAAGTCTCAGTTATGCTGTCTCAGTTATACAGAGATAAAAATCTCTTAAATAATCTTTTGTTCACTGTTTATAACTCCCAGTATCACCTTTTCCCCGTCCTTATATCTGGTTACACTCGAACATGTTTTGCTTGACTGGGCTTGAACTTACTGGGCTGTCATTATGGCTGCCTTTATTTATTGTTTGGTTAACTGGTTACTTTCAGATTTTATTAGCAATTATTCTTCTACTTACTTTGAAACAAATGGAAAAAGCACCAAATAGTGTTAAGCAACATTGGACCTCATATCAGTATAGAACATGCTAGAAATATCTCCCTGGTGACAATTATTTCTGTCTTCATCATTAACATATATTAACATGGGGTGTATTGCTATTAAAATAGACAAGAACTTGAGCCATATTATCATGCTTTAAAAATTCAAATGAACAATTTCAGGTGCTTGTTCCTTCCTTGAAGTTTTAACGCTTTTACCGAAATTCACACGTACTTATCCAGCTGGTGAGTGTTCTTTTATTACAAGAAGTTCTCCAAAAAGAAAAGAGTTACTTTTACCATAGGAAGAATGGGAGAAAATGCGTTTTTTTCCACAGAATTAGTTCTGTGATTTTTAAAAGCTTGGTAGAAAATTCAGGAAAAAAATCCTGAAAGGTGACAGGCATGTTGAGCGATGTTCACAAAACAGATTTTAGCTCAGCATAAGTAAAGCAATGATTAGTGTTAAGGTTCCCCACTGCAGAGTGGACCCCCGCTGAAGTGCCCTGCGATTCTTGACAGCTAAAGGAGGACAATCTGGGATCCCAGCATGGCGAGCTAGGAACTGCCCAACGTAGCTAGTAGGATAGAGCAAGAACACAAGGTGCTGCTCAGCCAGCCGTTTCTGGGAGTTAGATGCTTCCCTGCAAGCCAGATAGAGCTGTCTCCTACACGGACTGGGCTCAAGGTTGCTTCGGACAGGACAGCTTCCGCATACCAAACACACATACAGCATGTCCCACTCTACGTGCAGAGGTTTCAGTGCTTCCTCCAGTTTGGAGCAGGAATTCGAAGCTGATTCTCAAAGTGAGGGTCTCAGCCCAAAGGCGATGGGACTCTCTGTGGCAAGGATCGCGAGCTCTCCCTTTGGCTCTATCCCAACTCTGTGACATACTGAAATGTCCGCTGGAGGCTGGCTAGTACCCTTTGCCAGATTTTATGCCAGTCTTGCTCTTGGCCAGGGATGTCTGACTATTTTGCAGAAAAAGAAGCAGCTTCAAGATGGGCATGAGGGGAAGCACTGCATGGTTAAAACTCTCACCCCAGGGGAGGGAGAGCTGGGTTTAATCACCGCTGCAAATTTGGCAGATGAATGCTCTGAGTGGTAGATTCCCAGACTTTAGGCAAGACTTCAAATCACTAGACTGTGGGGAAACGGAACGTGTCCACCACCTCCTGGCTGCATTTTGTGCAAGTTTCAGACCATTAGATGCAATTTTTTGGAGTAGATACTAAAAAACATGAGTCGGGGGGGCATAGCTAATTTGCCCTGCTAAAATATAGCTGCTGTCAAGATCTAGAGCACATGAGAGGTAAACACTTGGGGAGCTGAACTTCTGCCAAGGTTCTCTAGTAGTTGAGTAGGTGTTTTAAATATGTAAAATTTGGATTTGAGAATGAAAGTCCCTTTACAAATCCAGTGCCCACCTCTTTTTTTTTTTTTTTTTCTTTTTTTTTTAGCTTTTCCTTATCCATGAGAAAGGGACTTGGTTTGGCCAAATTATGCAGAGTTTGTTGAAGTTCTCCCAAATACTGTTCTTATCTCAAAGTATAAAAAGATATAAAAATCGCTGGTGGGACAGTTGCAAAGAATGTGTAAGTTTGCAATGTAATGAAAAGGAAAGCTTACTCATTGAAAACTATTGGGATGAACTTTGAACTTGACAGAATGCACTAACAGTGTTAAATAACATTTAACACAACATAGCAATACAAAATGTCTGCAGCTGTAAGTTTGGGAGGCTGCACCCAGAAAAGTGATTGAAATGGATTTGTTGTGATCCTGTTCCAATGGGACAGTCAACATGGTTGTTGCACAATCAGTTGGACTTCAGCTGCCAGTCACGTGCTTTGCGTTACAAGGACGAGGTGATTCTTGGATGCTCAAGCAGAGCATGTTGAGGAGGAGTTAGTAGGTGGTACTGTCTGTGCACATGCTTTGCTGGGCGAGCAGATGCTACTGTGGAGCATGCGTTTCAAAACAGATGTTCAAAAGTAGAAAAGTCTTCCAAAAATACAAGCAAGGATAAATATAGCCTGGAAATCCATTTTCTAATGAAAGGCTCAGACAGTTTTCACTTCCTAGTTTACTAAAGAATAATTTATTCCCCTCCTTAGCCTCCTCGGTCCCTCCAGGTGCTGACCAGGTCCACCTTCTGCCAGACCCTCACCAGCTTTCCCCATTCCCCCCCTGAGCAGGGCGGCCCACATCTGGACACAACGTTCCAGGTGTGGCTGCAGCTGCAGCAAGTGGAACAGCACGGGAACTTCCCCTGCTCTGCAGGCCAGGGCTCTCCTAACACAGCCCCGCTGATGACGAGGGTGCACTGTGGGCTCACGCTCAACCTGGCATCCAGTAGATTGCAAGAGCCCCATGGCTGTAAAGCCTGACTCTTCGAGGTTTGTGCAGATACTATTTTTTTTTCCATACAGTCTGAGAGATATTCTTTAAACAAATGGATATTTATTTGAGAGAGAAAATACTTAGCAATAGTAGCAGATTTTCTTAAGTACCTATTTTAGAAGAATTGTGTCCCTTTATAAGGCTAGTGCATTTAAAAGTTTAAAAGCTCTGACTGTTCTTTGAAAATATTTACCTTCTAAGAAGAAAAACACTTATGAGCATTTCTTTTTGAGAACAGTGACTTATCTATACAGTTAAATATAATTTACAATTTTTCTGTAGTTTGTTGAACTAAAAAATTGTAACAATGCAAACAGCAAAGTGTATTAGGTCAGGTTCTCTAAAGCATAGAACATCTTACCTGCATGAATAAACCTTATTTGCCAATCAGGTCCTCAGTATTTTTCTTACTGTAAAACCTCTCCGCACCTTCCCAATTCTCATATCAAATGCTACCTCATTTTAGCCTAATAAGAATCTCTTCTTCTGCCAAGTTTTCCCCTGATGAGTGAGATTTTACACAACACAAATTGCTTACTTCTTTTTAAAAGCCCCAATGATCACAAACTAAGGCTGTAGCACAGAAGCTTATTATTGATTCAGATTGATAAAAATCTCACCATTTATGGAAAGAAGATCAGCCTACCAAAGGTCCAAATATCTTCCATAAACCTAGCCAGTAGCTCTACAAAATACCCAGCTAAAACAAAATCAAAAATGTGTTCAGAAAGAATCCATGTGCATCTAATTCACACCATGCTAGTTTAATGGCTTCTTTGTTTTGTTTTGGCAATGTGCATCTGGAAAGGGATGTCTTCAACCATCAGGTCCATTCCTCTGCTATTACAGGCATCACCTAATATCCTGGCAGA